CTCAGGAAAAAAGATCCTAACAAAAGGATTTTTCATCAAATATGTCCGTGACACAGGGTGGATAAATCATGGAATGGTTTAGGGTGGGAGAGACCTTAAAATCAATCTAATTCCAACCCCCTGCCATGGCAGGGACACCTCCCACTGTCCCAGGTTACCCCAGCCCTGCCCAGCCTGGCCTTGGGCACTGCCAGGGATCCAGGGGCAGCCACAGCTGCTCTGGGAATTCCATTCCAACCCCTCCCCACCCTCACAGGGAAGAATTCTTTCCCAATATCCCATCCAATCCTGTCACTCCATGTCCTTGAAAGCCCTCCCTGTGACGAGCAGGTGTCTCTCCTGTCATTCAGGTGCTGGGCGTTTGAGGATGAGCATGGAAATCCACAGGAAGTGCTCCTGAGGGGAGCAATCCCTGTATAAATTAGCAGTGAAATGCATTCAGCTTCCCTCGTTATCCTCCTTTTGGAAGGGAAGTGACAGCCGGGGGATTTCATTTCCTCCAGCCCCGGGCTCTTGGCAGCATCAGCACCCCGGAGTGCTCTGATTGCAGATTCTGTCCCTCCCATTGCAATGAGCTGATTGAAAGACAAAAAAAAAAAACCCAAAAACCCCACACATCTTCCTGCTCATGTACCCACTGAGCAGCCTTCACCTGGAGTCACAGGGCAGAGCTTTGCAGACATCACCAGGAGCAGCAGAGTGAACACCTGATGAGGTGACAGCAGGGCAATAATTCAAATCCTTTCAGTGCAGAAGTCCAGGCTCAGACTGTGAATAGCAGGGCTGGGTTTGGCTCCACCTGACAGAGAGCCTGGCGTGTGGACATTAATTTATTCATTAAAAGCTATTAGCTGTAATCTCTGCTCAGAGGAGAACTCTCTCTTATCTGCAGTGTGGGCTGAGCAGGACTCAGGCTGTTGTAACAACCCAGATATGGAGCTTCAGATCCAGCTACGGGCACACGGAGAGGGGCTCAGTATTGAAATATTACCAATACAGCAGTAAGGAAATTGCCTTGGCTTGTCTGGCCCTTGGTGCTGAACCAAATAGTGGCACTGTGGTGTTTCACCCCAGAGACACTTTGGGCTGGCTGGGTGTGTGGTGTTTCACCCCACAGACACTTTTGGCTGGTTGTTGGCACATGGGGACAAGTCCGGGCCTGCAGGAGCTCAGGTGGTGCTGGGATGGAGCTTCCCCCATAACAGGGGCTGCTCCTCAGGTTTCCCTCTGTGGAGAAGCTTTAAGGGGATGGTGAAGGAAAGGAGTTGGTTCTGATGGAGGGTTTGGATCCAGAGCTTTATTCTGGCCCACAGGCCTCTGAATGCAGCACCAGCTCCCTGAGCCCGTGGTTCCTTTAACCCCGGGGAGCTCTGAGCTGCCCCCCAGGCTGGCTGCCAATTTCCTTGGAACCCCAAATCCAGGCTGCTTCCTCCACGATAAGAGCTTGTTGGGAACAGGTGATTTAGGAGCTTGCACAAGGCAAAAGCTGCACTTGGGAGGTGTCTGAGCTTTGTGGGCTGTGCAGCCGTGGCAGGGAGCTCCACCGAGGGTTTCCCAGAAGGAAAAGCTGTTGATCTGTTGCTAATTCCTCCTCCTTCAGATAATCCATAGGGATCCTCCTTCTGTCTGTGTTTTTCCCTCCCTCACCCACCTTCCAGCCCCCAGAACGAGTTCAGCACTGGAACATCACAGAGCTCTGTACCCAGTTTTGTCTGACAAGCCATCGAGATGGAACCGTGCGAGCTCAAAGGGTGAAACAACAAACCAGAGCAACATCTGCCTGGGGAGCAGTGCTCCAGTGGGAACCAGGCTCCCAGGAGGGGCTGCTGAGGAAAATTAATTATCAGTGCCATGTACAGGGGCTGAGGAAAGGTTTTTGCTGATTCATGAATGCCTGGGTTTGAAAAGACAGGTGTCTGCTAAGGAAGGCAGAAGCCTTCCCTGANATCTTAAGGCTGTGTGCTCTCATTCTCCAGCCTGAGCTGCCCTGGCCCAGCCCCAGCCATTCCCTGGCTCCTGTCCCTGTCCCAGAGCAGAGACGGGAGCTGTCCCAGAGTGCAAAGCACCTGGAATCCAGGATCATCCTGCTGAAATTTTCCTTGTATCTGTTTCCCCTCTTCTGTCTCCGTGCACCTCTGCATAAAGTTTGGCACCATCTTCTTTTTATCATTCCTGGAATCATAAAATTGAAATTACAGGAGACTTTCTTGTAGCATCTGTTCTGCTGCAGCCTCTGAGAACCTCCTGTGCTGCACTAAACAAGGTGATTAATCCCCACCTTTTGAGGTTTGATTCTTTTCCTCATCTTTTCTCCAGAGAGAGAGCTTTGCCTTCTGCTGTTTGGTTTTTCTTGGTAGTGTAGGTGGTTTTTGCCTTTTTTTTGGTGGTTTTTTTTTGTTTTTTTTGTTTTTAACATTTCACTCTTGCTGTTGCTTATTGGCCTCCAGATCCAAACTTAAAATGCCAAAGGCAGTGTTTGCTGTAGCTTCAAGTTCTCAAAACTTGATGTGGAAATTGAAGCCTCCAGCTCTGTTCCTTCTGCCCTTTGTTTCATCATAGGTGATAAATTTTCCCATCAAAAGCTTCCCAGCCTGTGATATGTGAAGGAAAAAGGAAACAGAAGGGGCTCTTCCATAATTACAGGGCTATAAAGGCATAATAAAAATAAATGTGGTAACAGGAGACACAACACCTCTGAATATGAGCCCTCAGAGTCAGCACTTCTGTTGGGTAGGAAGGTATTTTTATCATCAGAGGATGGTACAGAAACTTACACCCCACACCCAAAAGTTTCCATCTCTTGCAAGTACAGAAGTCCCAAAACATCTCTGCAATTAAATTTGACCTTTAAAAATATTAGATACAGGGCTTTCCTTTGAAATTCCTTTACAGGACAATGATTTAATGCTCCTTTTCTCACCCAAGGATACAGGTGAGCATTGCCTTCACACAGCTCATGGACACACAGAGAAAATTGTGTGAAACTGTGCTTGGCTCCTGTTTGCCATTGCACAGGGATTTCCTCCTGCCAGCAGGCCGTGAAAAAAGGAACAGAAATTCCCTGCATGAAGAACTCTGCCTACCAAGGATTAATTTAATCTCTTCTCCTGTTCCCAGATTTCGCAGAGTTTGTTTTCCTGGGGCTGTTCCTCACTGAGATGTCTCTGAAGATGTATGGGCTGGGGCCAAGGAATTACTTCCACTCTTCATTCAACTGCTTTGACTTTGGGGTGAGTAACGTCCAGCAGGGTTGTGGTGGTGTT